GGAGCCACCCAGCAGCAGGAGCAGGTTTCACTGAAGAGCCTCCATTTTAATGCAACCTGTGTTCTGATTTAATAAACAAGGTCCTGTTCCAGCCATTTCAATGGATGTTGTGCCAGGAGGGCACGTGTGACGGATCAAGGCTTGAAGTCCATTAGGTGCTGAACAGGTGGGACAGCAATTTGCTGAGTTGAAGGGTGAAAAGAGCAAGTGTAGAGTTTTGACACAATATACTATGTGACCCCTTTCTGGTGAGTGAGGGATTAGCAAACCACAAAAGGAATCTCTTTAATTGGAAAAGGTACTTTGCTATACCAGCTACATGTTTAACATCTTGTGCTTTTTAAGTAGTAGCTTGAAGTCAAAGTTCAGCTGAAGTTTCAGTGGACTTTTTTTTTATATGTTTGTGTGTTCTCTCCTGTAGGAATGATGACTGTGGGTAAAAATAGACCATTTTAGAAAAACACCTTTTGTAACCCATGCCTGTGTTTGAAGTATGTCTGCTGAATATTGGGTTTGAGAGGTAAATACTACAGGGAATTTTTTTAAGCCTGATTTATCGAACTTTATGGCTTCACAGGAGGAAATATTTACAAGTCTCATTTCAGTACTGTTTTAGGAGGCTGCTTATTTGATGAAACTATTATGCCATAAAAACTGGGTGATTTGTGGAGAGATGATGGGCTCTGGCAGTGTTTATCCACCCAAATCACTTCCTTTCTTGGAATCAAGTGTTCTTATGTAGAGCATGAAACACAAAAAGAGAGCAGGAAAGAGAGGAGATAAAGCACAGTATTAAATAGAAGCTCTACTGAGAGAAAATAAAGTGAATGCTAATGGGGGCCTGAGAGAGTCCAAGTCTTCCAATGTATTTTTATCTTGTTTGTTCCATATAAATCCCCACCAGTCATTCTTCAGAAGGAAGGATATACAACAAGTGATGTCATATTGGCTGCCAGAATTCCCTCATTTCCCACACTTGTGTGTTTCAACAAAGGAGGAGGTTGTTGGATGAGAGGAATATACTCCTGGAGTTTGGAGAATGTATTTTAAGTCTGGTGGACAAACCATCATGTTTCTCGATCAACTGATACAAACTCTTTTCCCAAGCTGAGTTGCATCTCACGGCAAACCCACGTCATTTTGCTAAGCAATAGAAATGTGTAACTCATTAGGCAAATTTCGATACGTTCGATTGCTGAAGGAAGGCAAGTCAAGAGTGATGGGAGAGGTTTAATGAAATTGAGTTTGTGACACAAATATTCTGTAGTGTCTAGGAGGTTTTGGGCAGGGGTGTGCAGCTCTGTGCTGCTTATACTGAAAATGCCTGATGGAGATCCATTTTCAAAAATAATCTAAGTTTCAAGAGGTTGTCAGGTTTCTGATCCAGGTTTTTGCTTGACTTGTATGACTACTACAAGCAGCCAGTTAGGTGTTTAAGTTATGGTCTCTTCTCTGCAAATTGATATTTTAAATATCTTATAATGAGGTCCTTTCCAATTTCTGGTCTAAACTATCTGTCCTTACTGTAACTATGGACAAATCTGTATTTTTCTTTATTTTCTCCCACAGATCAATATTTAGAAGTTAGTTAATAAAGCCAGATCACTGTGGTGCTACACTGAGTGTCAGCATGAGCACTTTGTGGCAAATTGTTCCTTCTTGATTAAGTATTTATAGGCAGTGGGACTGAGAAGGGCGATTGTTGCCAAAGCTTTGGCACCCCTACAGAATTCTCCTAAGAATAAAGATGATTCAGATAAAGGCCAGGAGGGATTTGCTGGCTGCTGGAATCAGACAGTTGTGTGACACAGAGTTCTCGTTTGATATCAGCTGGTGTTCCAGTGGCTTGCTGCTCTGCAAACTCCAAACACCAACCAAACAGCTGAATTTAAACAGTGGGATGGTTTTCTATTTACATAAAGGGAAAAACACAGGAAACTCAGAGAGCTTGGGGAAGGTCCCCACTGGGTGAGAAGGGTGGCATTTGATTTATTATTATTTTAATTGCCTAACAGTGCTAAGGGAGAGTCTAAAGTCCCTGGAGAAGCCTTCAAAGGGGGAAAGATAAATATTGAAAAATGTTATTTATAGCCTTTAGTGTTTCACCCATGTAAATACAAAAATGAAATACAAGGGCTGATCACATCTTCTGAAGTTTCTCCTTCGCATAAGCAATGCTGAAGAGGCAAACACAGCTGCCCAAAAATAATGGCAAGGTGAGGCCTTTGGCTGTGTGTCCTCCACCCAACTGCCTCTCCCGGCCCTCGTGTTCCCGGGCTGGTGTTGGCAGAACGTGAGTGTAGGATGGGCTCCTGTCAGGCTCTCCCGTGATCCATAATGGGCATTGAGACGTGCCAGCATTAAGTGCTCAATTGGATTTGATTTGGGAATAAGGGCTGCAGTCAGAGACAGAGGAAGGATTTTCTGCTTTCAGGTTCTTACCATTTCCCCTCTCTATGGCCTCCCAGCCTCCTGGTGTGGAACTCTGACTGCATGGTTATCACCCTCCGATCAAGTTTACTAAAAATTATTCTGATCAGTCCAAAAGTGTTTAATTTTCTTTCCCTAGATTATTTTGAGAAACAGCTGTGTTGCTGCACTGAGACTGAAAGGGATGTTACGATCTGGGTGGGGGTACCTGTGCGCAGTACAAGTTAGGGGGAATAACTTCTTATCTGTCTCAGTCATAGCCAGAGAAGATAATCCAATACACTTTTTAGGCTTGGACACCATTATCTAGTGCATGAAAGAGACTGTGTCCCCCAAATATTTATTAATGTATGCTTTGGAAAAAATTCAGGATGAAGATCATGAAAAAGGAAAACACTTTTTATTGACAGGATTGATTTTAAACATGCCATAGGAGGTGCTTTGTATCCCATTCCAGCTCTGGTTTGACACTTAAAATAGGCTCATTTTGAATGATTCCTCAGTGGACTGTGGTTGTTTTGAAGTCAGTGGCTCCTCTGTCCAGTTTGTCAGGGCTCTGGGGTGTTTGCTGCCTGCCTGGCCAGTCACACAGACTGCAGCTTCTTTAGAATGTGTTGTATGTGAACATGGTAAATAACCACGTCAGATTTGTGTCTCAGTTTTGACATAAACGAGAAGGAAAGAGCAATCTGAAGTTAAGGAAGCATTTTTAGCATGCAAACATAATAAATGATGTGTTGTGTGTTAGAGCTCCACACTTGCCATTCTTTCTTGTTGTTATGATGACCGATCCCAGAAAAAAACCCGAAAACTAGAAGAAAGTGCTCTCTCTCTCTCTCTCTCTCTCTGTCTCTCTCCATTCCTGTGCCACCAATAACCCTCAGAACAGCCCTTCCCTGCTCTCCACAGAGATGGACTTTCTGGGGAGCTGGGCTTTGCATACCAAGGTAAAGGTACTCTTCCCTTTTTCTTGTGTATCTAAAGTATGAGTTTCTTGGGAGGTGATTTGATCTTGTACCTCCTTCAGGTATAGAAGTGCAACACTTCCATGACTCTAAACAGAACTAGATCTCTTTGTGGGTATTCTACAACTTGCTGCTCAGTCTCCTAAAATGTCCATCATCAGACTGGAACACCAGTGGGCAGATTTGGAAGATCCTGAATCAAAGCCACGCAGATAAAGTCTCAATTTCTCATCAGGCTGAGTTTTGTACCTGTTTATATACACAAGATTTTGTGTTTACAGTTTGTTTGCATTAAGATGCACCTATTTGTTTGAGCTATATGATAGGAGATTATTAGAAAATATATTGGGGAACCACCCACAAATGCTTACAGTGAGTAAATTCTTATCCTGTGTTACAGGATTCCTTCCTAGTTTAGTTGGAGACATGCCTCCAAATATATAATTCGGTATTTATTTTTGAAGAGGTTATTCTTGCGACTCTACTGATAGAGTTGCTTTCATGGAGTTACTCTTAACAGAGTTATTTTTAAATTATTGGGGAACAGTGAGACACATCTTCAAATATAAGTCATCTGGTGTTTGGAATGCAGATGCTGAGAGCTTTGGCAGGTTCTGTCCATATTGTTCAGTGCATTTTGAGTGCTCACTGAGACGAAGAACAGCAGAATTTAATCTGCTGGTTCTGAGAACAAGTTTGATATTGCTGAAATAAGTGATGCCTGACTTTTCATATGCCAGATAATGCTGATTTCTGTTTGTTTTCCGCTGTTTTCCCTTTTTATTACCTTTGCTCCTTTTGACCTTTTCAGTAATATTAAATTTTTCCAATAGAGCACTTAACTTGTGTGCTGTCAAAAAGCTCCCACTATGAAATTCCAATGAACAGTATTACTGTATGGGGTTTGGGGTTTTTTTTAGTGCTTTGGGTTTTCTTTCTCCTTTTCCCAGACTTCTAGATATCATTGCTGCCTTCTCACCTGCCAACATGGACTGACAATTAAAGCAAACCACACCATGAGCATGTTTATCCTTAATTTGTGCTCTTTCAGGAGTGCCCATGAAGGGAGCATTTCTTTGGTGACATTCCTGCACTTTGGGAATGCTGAGCTGCAGGTAACAACTTCAAAATAACACTGTCAGCTACTTGGGGGTATTTCTTGCCCAAAATAAGTGTCATATATAAAGTCAGTGGCCTAAGACTGCTAGTATTTAGCTTAAAATGTTTAGAGACATTAAGCAAATTCTTTATTTGCTTTTTGGGGGTTTGGTGGTAGTAACAGTCCTGTTCCCATTACATTTTTGCTCATATTTTTGAGCAGCAGTATATGCAGTCCTTGAAGATTGAAATAATGCTTATCTTCCAAATTATTTGGCATTTCCTAATGTCCATGAGAAATGGCTTAATTTCCTACAGTGGAACAGATCTTGGCAGGTTTAGTGTATTAGGTATCTGTAACTATTGCATCCTTGAATACAATGCCATAGGGCAAAGATGATTTGTGTTATTTAATTAAATGCAATATGTTGGTATAGCGACATTATTATTTTTCTTGAGTATTTAAATGTGTTTTGAATGTTTTTGTTGTTTTCAGAAAGTAGCATTCTTTTCAATACATGTAAGTGTAAATATTTATTAACATCTACTGTTTACTCTAATTATATAAATGTAACAACACAAACACACCCAGCTTCTTATATTTTCTGCAATAATACTCTGTTTTATAATCAGTCCCCTTAGTTCTCTGTGGGTATATGTGATCAGACTAGAACTATGTTTACTTGAACCTTTGTTGTCTCATTCTTTATGTCAGTGTCTGAAGCAAATTACCTGCTGTTCAAAGATATTGAGAGATGAATCTTAGCAGCACAAGTTCCCTGAGATTTCTGCAACAATTAAAATACTTTGACAACAGTCCCAGATCCCGTGCTCAGAAATCAGCTCTCTAGAGGCAGTGAAATGAGAAGGGTCCTTTGCATAAGTGAGTTTTAAAGGTGGGGAAATCCATTCCTGCTTTCTCTTTTTTCCTGTTTTTTTTTCCCTCTGTTCATTCTGAAACCATGACCTGGTGAATGTCACTAGGCTGTAATCCACTGATGCTGTGGGGAGGTGGGAACAGGGAGCTGGACAGTTCGGTGGGGCTCAGTGACCCCGAGTCGCTCTGGGCTGAGCCCCCGCTGCCATCAAACTGCGAGATTTTCTTCTTGAGCAGCTTCCTTTCCTTTGCCCGCCGGTTCTGGAACCAGATCTTCACCTGGGGCATTAGAAACGGCATCGGATTAGTGCAAAGGGCTGGGCAACCTTTTACAGCAATTAGAACTGTGAAAATGGAGAGAAGGTAAAAAACACTAGGAAAAAAACCCCAAAACCTCAAGCAAGGAAATGAACAAACAAAAAGCCCCAAAACACCCCCCCCACACACACAAAATGACCCCCCCTCGCCCTGCCATCAAAAACCCACAAACCAAACCACTGAATCTGTGCAGTGAAAACTTTTGGCTTTCCTCTGTGTTAATTTTCTGCATTATAATCAATAGAAGATTACTTTCTGTTCTTGGGCCTGGTGTGAAGGGAACATGCTGTGTTATATGTGAGAACACAGGGATCAACACACTCCTCGAGACTCAGAGACTCCCCAAGTTCATCATCCCGGCTTTGCCAGTGGCTGTGTCACACTTTAGGAAGATGCAATTAGGGAATAATTTTGAAGATTTCTTTATTATCTGTGTTACAGATTAATTCAAAGCCAAGTACTGAGGGTTCTTTTTCTTCACTTATGTTGTGAATGATTTCTGTGTGTGCATATATTCTTATGTGTTTTTAAAGCTTTGATTGCTTTTATTATGTATTATATATTTATTTCTCTTTTTTTATACCTATATTTTTCAGATACATACATACAGCCATGTGTATAACTAGATATCAGCATTATCTATTGACATTCAATTTCTCAGACTAATTGTGCAGGTGTAAAGACTCCTGTCTATTTAAAACCTGCTTTTAGTTTAAGTATTTATATTTTATTTCCTTATGTGAAAGTGTGAATGAACAGAAAGTTTGTGTTCATACTTAACAGTTTTTATTATAGCGTAGAAGGTGTGTTGAATACAATATGATAAAGTTGTGCCATTGCTTTGTATTCAAAATCTAATTATTATTTTCTATTTATTTTTATTACCTTACTGGTAATGGCATTAAGTAGCATTTAGCTTTGTCTGTCGTGAGTCCTGTAGAAATACAGATAAATTAAGTATTTTGTCTCCATTATACTTGAAGGAAACTTGCCAAAGGTTGGGTGGCATTAGGAGCAGCAGTGTAAAAAGAAACTGCTGAGTTTGTGCAGTATCTCTGGTGATTCCAGGCATGTCTGTGTTCTAAGTCAGCCAGCTTGCATAATATTAAGGTGCAGGCTTTGAATCTTTCATAACTGCAGTGCTCTGAAAAATTTCCAACGCAGCTCTGTCCTACTGTGTGACAAACTTTAGTCCATCCATGGTTTCCATTGTCACTGTCTGGGGCCGCTTGGAGTCTGCAATCTATGCACTCCTTGGGTCTGGGATTGAATGTCACTGCACTAAAATGTGTTCATGAAAATCCAGGGCTTGATCCTAAAATACCCTTGGTTATCTGTGCATCCCCACACTTCCTCCACTGGTCCCTCTCTATCCCATGCTCCTGCACAGACTGAATGCAAAGGCAGAGGAGGCCACTGAAAGAGAATATTTTAGACAACTGGATGTGTATATTCAGAAAGAACAAATGCTTGTAAAATACTAAAAAGAAAGATCTCTAGTTTGGAATTAGCTGAGGGCAATAATCTGGTTGCTAAATGAGATGCCCTATTCAATATCACCTTATCCTCCAGCTGTAGTTCTGAAGGGTTGGATCCAACAGTTACTGCAGAGCTGTGCTTTCCAACACAGGGATTTTAGGGAATTCTTATCCTGAATTCCTCTAGTCTTTGTGTGAGCACAGCTGACAGATCTGGGCCCTGCTCAGGGGAGTGTCTCTGTTCAGGACACAGATTAAATATGTACTCTATGTGAACAAATGCAGAGCTGCTTTTCAAGGAAGTAATGGATCTAAGTATGCCCTTGAACATTCCCTGCCTGGATAGTCCTGGCTACATGTATTTGTATAACAGTATCAAATGTGGCACCAAACTTTGCAGCCTAAAGCAGCCTGTATGTAGGAAGTTTGAACTACTGCTGTAGGTGAAGGACCTGTGAAAATGATAGCAAAAAGAGATCCTGACTTGAAAGTCCAGGGCTGGAAGAACCCCTTCAATATGCTGAAATCTGTGGAAGAATGTGGCCTGTGGGAGCTGTGCCAATACATTTATGACAAAAAAAGCCCATAAATATCTCATTTGGTTGCTCTTTGAATGCTCAGTTTTGATTTTCCTGGCTTACAGCTCAAATACATCCAATGCTTTGGATTTTTTTCCTGGCCATTACTTTGTGTGGTTTCAAGAAGAAATAAAGTTGTGAATGTCAGGACTATTGGGAACATAGCTAAGGTAACATGAAGCTGAACTGTTTAAATTCTATCTGTGGAGGAAGGTAGAAGGTAATTCTAAGTCCTTTGTGTAGTATAGATGAATTCCTAATGCTTCGTTACCTCTAACTGGAGGTTTCTGCCAAATGAACAGTTAATGTGGGGGGTGTGGTGTGTTCCCTGGGATGGAGGGCTCTGGGTACCTGTCTTTCGGATAGTCCCAGGTTTGCTGCCAGTTCTGACTTTCTCCTGATTGTGATGTATCTGTTGCAGTGAAATTCCTTCTCTAATTCCAGTCTCTGATGGTCTGTGTAAACAACTCGGTACTTTTCTTTTGTTCTTGTTTTACCTGTTTAGGAAAGAAATGTTATCAATATTAAGAAATATTAATTTGATTTTCCATAACAACTTTCAGACATCTCCAGCATTTTACAGACATTAATTAAACTACTCACATGGGATTGTTTTCTGTGGCACAGAGAAGGAATATGAGGTACAGGGTAAAATAAGAGAGTACTGGTTACCATAACTGTCTTTCCCTCTTTATCTCCCTCTCTCTGTAAACATACATTTAAATGTGAAGCTCTTAAGTGATAAACACCCTGAAGCATCTTCAATAATTCATAGCAGTACATCACTGGTGCTGGTTATATTAATCTCAAAGGGGTTTCATTACAGTGCTCACTGAAGGGACTTGTGTGTATTTGAGAGCAGAAATACCCAGAATTTCCAGACTGAAATTCAGTCACAATTTTAGTTGTACTGTGGCCTAATTCTTTACCTGAGTTGTTAAAGATCACTTCTCCAATACAAAGAAATGTCCTGCTGGAAGTGCTTTTGCTTTCTTGAGTGGCCACAGGACATGCTTATAAGCTTAATAATAATTTGAATTTACTTTTTCCAACAATGCCCAGCCTTGCAAGGTGCTGAGTGCCTGCAGAGGTATTCCTGGGGGTACTCTGGGCTGGGCTTCCCTTTGGAGTTGGAGGCAATTTGTAAGATGAGGCAATAAAATACTTGTAAAAGAATTTCAGGATCACCCTCTCTCTAATGTATAAAAGAACTATTCTCAGGTACATTAGATAAATACCATTGAGAGAAGCATTACTGAATGTTTAGAAGATATCTCTCATTTCATATAATTTTTAAACAATTCTTCATGCAATAATAATACAGAAAGATCAGTTTTCAACTTATTTGTTCTCCTTTGCACTTTCAACAGCCAAATAGATAGTTTTCCTTTTTTCTTCTGATCTTCTCAGTTTTTTTTGATGTGAGTTTTCTGGGACAAACTGTAGGACAAAGACTCCTTTAAAGTGATTCCCTAAAATCCATTGAGGTGTTAAGATGAAGCACACGCCACACAAAGGAGCGACAAGGAGATCTTATCAAGCCCCCCTTTCACATTCAGAACCACAAGCCAATTGGTTTGGAATTTACAAGCCCTAAACAAATGTCAGACTCTTTCATCTTAGCAGAGGAAAAAGCCACAGAAATAGATGAAGGAATATTTTTTTTTCCTCAGTTCTCTTTAAATTTGGACTGACATAGGTCAGACTGTGTTTATTTTTGTCTGAAAGCTAGAGGTAGGCATAGCTGAAATATGCAGAATTAAGGATATGTTCCCAAATCCTAGGCCAATTTGACTTCCAGCATAGAAGATTTTCCTGCCTAAATTTGCAGGACTAAAATAATCATCAAACCAAGTTTACTTTTTTCAAGGTACAAATTGTTGGGTTTGAAATCTTTGCCCTAAGTGATAGTTCTAATGCTGACAGTAGGACAGATATTCGGGTTCCTTGTAAACCGAAGGCTTAGAGGGAATCTTTGAAAACGGGTTAAAATTCAACAAGGTTATTCCGGCTTCACTATAATCAGCAAATATAACCATGATCTGAGGGGGTGGAGGAAAGGAGTAGTTTTCCCCATTGCCCTTGGTCATAAAATTCACAGAGCATTTCTTCTGAAGACAATAAAGCTGGGAGAAGGCCTCTTTATTTGCTGTGAAAATCATCACCCTTTCCGGCAATATAACTCCTGAAGAAAGGAGGGAGAAGGAAGAGACAAGGCTGCATATCAAAGCAAAGCAAAGTGAAGTGTTAAAAGGGTCTGCTGCCTCAATATGACAGATCGGCCTCAAAACCTCAGACAATGTAGGCCACTGCAAAATAGATGCCACAACCAGTTTACAAAGCAAAATAAATTAGCATTAGAGCAGAGACCTGGCTTTTTTCCTGCTTTTCTATTTTGCTTTCTGTCTGTGTTTCTGCTGTGATGTAATCTGAATTACTTGGACATCACTGCTTGTTTAAATAAAGACATCAAATGTGTTGGATATAGTTAAAAAAAATCTAAGGCTGAGCACACAACATATGAAAATAATGTCCTTTTGTTAGTCCCCTTAAAGTCCCTTCTCTTTCTGAGAACGGCCACTACCAGATGAAGTTTCATACGGAGCTTTGGAACCTGTTTTCTAGGCCCTTTCAACACCTTCTCAGTAGGTCTCATGCTTTGAAGGCTCACTAGCTCTCAGAAATACATATTTTATATTATTGATCACATAGGGTTTAGAAACTAATTTGAAGCTCTACTCTTGCACAGCTGAAGTTGATGAGGCATTTTATCATAGATTTTTAGTGAAAACAGGCTCAGACTGTCAGGAATTCTTTAGATGTTCTTTTCCTCACTTTGATAGCCTGACTGGGAGGATACCTTTACCAAGCCCACTTCTGATGTTTGGGTTTTTTTTGAATTTCTTACTGCCTCATATATTTGGAGTGTCTGTGTGCTTGAAATAAGAAAGGGATTGGTTCTGAATATGCAGTTATGGTCTTTAAGACAGAGGATTTCAAATACCATTTTATCTGTTGAAAGGACATGGTACTTCTGCCTTTGTTGTTTCATCCTGAAGATTGACATGATCAGATAAATTTTCATTTCACTTTTCCTGCAGTTGAATTTTTTTTTTTTTAATAAAAAGCTGAATACGAATATTGAATCAGAATGTAGTGTATTTACTAGAGCCTAAATAGAGAGGAAAAAAATTCCCATTAACATCCACTCCCCCCAGATAATTCCTCTTGCCTTTAGGGCAGAATTTCAGGAGGCTCCCTGCTCTAATCAGATGTGTTTTGATCTCTGTTATTCCTTGCTGCTCACACACATCCATGTGAGTACACACCACTGGTGAACTGAAGAGCAGACACATATTTATACATATAAATACATTTGTAGGGTTTAGGGCTGTAATTCTGGAATTAGAGAGCAATGAACTGTATCAAGCAGCGATAACACTGAAGGAGAGGAGCCAGTAGCTACTTTATAACATGACTGATATTATGGCAATAAGGAAAACCAGAGAGCAAAGGTGTTTCAAAGAGGGGTTATAATGGCATCAAGTCAGACATGTATAATTTTAGCCTTGTGGTTTGTTTGAATTTCCTTCCATTTATCACCATTTTTTCCGTGTCAATATTAAAATTTTCCTTTTTTTTTTTTTTTCAATCACCAATGGAAAGTCAAATCTGTTTGGTACTTTTCTTGTTTTGGACAGTTACCACATTTGTGCTTTACTCTGACAGTCCGGGGGCTGTTGCCTGGAGCTCACTTCCGTGAAGTCCTGAGCTGTTTTTAACACTTCAAAGGCAGGGAATGCACAGCCTCGGGACATGCATCTATTGATGGGCCCTGTTTCACCTGTCCCCAACGGTTCATAAAGTATTGCAGCCTGTGTGTGAATTCTGTGTAAGTGCTTTGCAGACTAGAGATAAATTTAGGCCCAAAACTGTGTCTCTGAATCACAAATATATTTTATAAAGTTGAACAAGCATGCGAGAAACTTTTCAGTTCTTCCAAGTCTGTGCAATAAGTGTAAAGCAAAGATTTAGATTTTGAAGTCTGTGTTACCGTTTAAGAATGACAGCACATTTAAAATTCAGTGGCAGCATGACACAAACAGGGCTCCCTCATTGACATTCAGTTGAATTTGGTCTCCACTCAAGTCTTGCATCACTTCTACACCTGGAAATCTCCAGTGATGTTAATGAAGCTGCTGTGATTTACATGAGGGGGGAAAAGGGACTATAAACCCCCCTCGCTTTGAGGGCCTTGGTAGAGGCTCCAAGTGGAAGGATGGCCTTGTGATATCCCAATGTTCACTGGGCATTTGATATTTAGTAACAGTGGCAAAACAGTGCCAGTCTGCTTTATAATTAAGAAACAATTACCAAGACTAATTTTGCTCCTGAGCAATAACCATTTGAAGGAGGTTTCTGTCTGAAGCAGCAGCACCGATTTTCTGTGTCTTCTAAGATTGCTCCAATTGTAATTGCTCTGCTTTCTTTGGATCATTTTCTTTGATGCTCCCTAACACACACTTACTACTTTTAACCTTAACAATAGATTTAGCAAGCCTTGCTACACCCAGTTTACACCTTGGGAATATACATGGAAGGGTTCATCTGGAGGCAGCTTGTGACAAGAACAGGCACATCAATGAGTGGCACTTGCAGGAAAATGAGTTTTAATTGTGTAATTGTGGCAAGCTGCAAAGTTCTGGTATGTAAGAAAAATATGTAAAACTGATGTGAAACTAAATGAAGAGGAAGCTTAAGTGAGGAGTTATGTGATCTGCAAACAAAATAGTCTGTGCTGATCATTTGAGTCAGATTGCCTCTCCAGGAATATTTCTTTTCACTAATAATTCTGGGTAGAAAAAGAAAAGGCACAAGACAACCAGCAGAAAGTTGTGTAATTGCTACAGTTGGATCAGAGCACATAATTTTCTTTCAAATTATTGAAATTATTTAAAAAGGTCAACCTGATTTTATATTGATATTTACCTTGCGGCACAAAGTAATTCGATAGTATTTTTTGCCTGTAGCTGTTAAATGTTGCTGCTTTCATTGCTCCATAACACTTTCAAGATTATCATGTTTTTCACACCGAGTGCTTTACAGAATGTTCCAACAGGAGCTGTGGAACCGCATCCATGTCTGACGCATCCATGTCTGACCACACCAGCCATTCAACTACAGTAACCACAGAAAGCCTTCATGGGGAGAATGTGAAACTAGCACAAATTTAGTCAAAACTGCCTTAAACAGCAGTAGGTGAAATAAATGCCGTACATGACCCACCAAGCCCTGTGCTTCAAGTAAAGTTAATTATTTGTAAGAGCAGCGAGAGCTGAGGTTGAGGTTGGATCCGCACTTACCAGTGGTGTTGGCTTGCACGGTTTTCCTCATCCACTCGTAGGAGCTGTGCCTGTGGCTGCTGGGGGAGCAGTGCTGGGCACTGCCGGGCTCTGCGGGAGGAGCCCCCCCGGCCCCGGGCTGCAGGGAGCTGTACTCGGCGGGGCTGTAGGAGCCCGGGGCGGGGGACGAGGCGCTGAGCTGGGCAGTGCCCGCGCCGGAGGGGCCCGGCCCGTACGCGTTCCAGTCCTCCCTCTGCGGGCCATAGTGGGAGCCCCAGGGCCCCGGCGGCTGCCCGTGGGTGTCCAGGGCTGGCACGGGGTGGTATCCCATGTACTCGGGGTAGGGGGGTGCGGACACGAAGCCCTGCCCTGGCAGGGTGTTGGCAGCCCGGGCAGAGCCTGGGTACATGCTGCCGTCCTTGTCCAGGAGCGGGCTCACGTACATGGCTGGCACACACCTGGTCACAACATCCTGCTCTGCTGTGTTGTCTTCTGCTGCTCCAAAATATTTGTGTTTGGGTTTCTCTAATAATGCCACTCTTCTTGGAATCTTCTACTTCATCCTCTTTTATTATCCACTGTGTTACCAGGTGCTGGTGGTAATGGTTTACCAAGACCTTGCCTGACGTCAGCTCAACTGCTGCCTCATAATTACATTTACATTCAAATGAAGGGCTGCCCGACCCCACCTTTCTGCTGGTTCTGGTGCTTTCTCTTTTAGAGAACTTTTATCTATCCTATTATCCTTCCCTGATATTCAACAGCCATCCCAGTCCTGCAAGATGATGCAACAGTTGCTTGTACTTGTAACTGAAATAGTTAAGTAAATAGACATTTCTCAAAAGAAACTATAGTGGTAACTATCATAGCAATGTTTAACATTCAAATGATTCTTGTCGGAAACCTTTATTTTATGATCTACTATCAATCAACAAGTAAATCTGTTACTCTTTTAATTTGTCAGATACTAAAAAAAAAATCTCATTTTTACTTTTTAAGCAGTACAGTTAATTGAATAATTGTAAGTCAATAACTTCAAAATGCAGAGCACCTCATAAACAACATGTCTTGAATATAACTGTCTCAAAAGCTTTCCTGTCATTGTTGACTTTTGTAAGTGGTTTTCCAGCCTGGGAGACTTTAAAACTCTGACTGTAGGGCACATGTTCTCACTGTCCCCACACAGAGCGATTTAAAGAGATCCCTTCATCTGGTGGCCATTGCAAACTGATAAATTTGAAAAAGCAGACAATAAATCTTCTTAACAAAGATGGTGCCAGAAGTACAAAGAAAATGACTGTAAAGAGTAGTGAAAAAAGTCTTTGATTAGGCACAGTAATATTGTTGGCTTCTGTTTCAAGACAAGCTTTATCTGCCTGAAAGGAGGCTGATTCCTTCCTCTGGAGCTGCTGCCTGTGGTCTGCTTTCAGTGGTGGCAGCTTGGCCAGGGGAAAGCAGCAGGGAGAGACATCTGGGTTGTTAATTTGTGGATCAGAACTGCCTCGATGCCCCTCCGGGAAGCCCCTGGCACACAGTGCTCCGTGGGGCAGGAAAAAAGGATTCCCATGGTGTTTTACATCTCGTTATTAAGAGCTTGGTTTAAGGTGGGAGAACTAAAGCACACCTTAGGACTCCAGACTCGCCTCTCTGGGTTGTGGAGCTGCGATTTGTGGAGTGAATTGGCTGTATTTTTATTTTGGCTGGGTTTTTTTGCAATGAGCTATTTGTAAGGGCTATGCTTGCAAAAGAGGTGCAAATTACAATGAGTTGTTTCCCTTTACAAAGGTGTGGGTTTTCATTCAGTATCCTTTGTATTTTGACACTACTGGTATTCACACATCCCTTCTAATTCCAGCACTAAAGGATTCTAAGTGTGTACTTAAAGACAGGAAAGATACTCCTTTTCTGTTGGGTGTTGAGGGGTATTTTTGAGGGAAGAATTTTTACTGAGAAGTGTAGCAAAATATTTTTAATGAATTTTGCTATATTTACAAAATCCTGCATTAATCACTGGGATCCTGAGAATGTTGAGGAAATCATGGGATAGGACATAGAAAAAGTAAGACCTTCTGTAATTAGTGTACTATTATAAAAATAACACTAAAAATAAATCGAAAGAGACTCTTTATCCCTTCATCTTGAAAGAAAAGGACTTGTAACACGATTTTTGAAAGCCCACAGAGCTTTTAGTAGTGATGTGCACTAAAAAGAACAAAGAACTCCACTGAGCATCATCCAAATTGAACAAGCTGTGTTTCCTGTACTGGGATTGTCCTTGGACTCTTTGGCTGTTTGTGAGCCTTGTGAGCAGTTAAATTCCATGTATGGGTGAATGTGACACAGAGCCTTCAGTCACAGGCAGATCCACAGGAGGGAAGTTTCGTCTCCATCGACTGCATCTGAAATCCATTGGATTTCAAACATGGACATGGTTGCTCAAGGGTTTCAGATCAGACCCAGTGTTTGACTTCTAAGCCCCCCATTTTCACATTTCAGTGAGTGACATGGCATTTCATAGACTGCATTACATGTTGGTAACATTTTTAATCCTCTTCCTTTATGGGATTCCTCTGCACGTACCCCCCACCATTTCAGTATCGCTTAATCCTATTTTTTGTATCTCAGAGCTTTATCCTTTATACTCTGTTCTTCTTTTATCTTTTGATAATGCTCCTCCTTTCCCTTTCTTGTTTTGCCTGTTCCATTATCTGAATTTTCTTCAGATCTATTTCGATTCTTTCCAGAACGTAATTAGATCAAGATACTCAGATGGCAATTTGCTGCACTGATTTGATATCAGCTCACAATAGTAAGCTTTGAATAAAGCATTTTGTTTAAAGAGATTTGCATAGCAGGATAAGATTGCTGGGTAGGACTGCAGGTTGTTAACACCAAAGTGAGAATAAGACAACTGAAATGGCAACGTTCAAATGATCTTCTGCACCCTGACTCTTATGTCTCCTATTTTGTATGACAGAACACTGTGGGGATATTAAAGGAACGTTTGCCAGCAGTTCTGAGGTGGTGGCTGGACCCCCAGAAATGTCGCCCTTAGGGAGGTGTATTTGTACCTTTTCTGGGGTGGGTGATAACGGCAGAGTGGGGCAGATCCGTGTGGTGCTGCAGCAGCAGTGCTGTGCTCTTTGGCATTCTCCAGAGAGAGGGATTGTCAGGAAAACTGAACTCCAAGGCTCTTTTTCTTCTCCACCTCCTCAAATGCCAGGTATAATTTATCTCCTAAGCCAGTGTCCATGGGAGCTGCCTCAGTGGTCGTTGGAGGGAAGTTTTATGTGTGTTAAATCAGATGTACTTGGAGCTTTTTGGGGAAAAGACTTTCTAGTTTTCTAACAAGAGGTTGATGAAATTTCTCAATAATAACACACGTGGGGATAACCATATATAGGTTATAGGAGCATATATAGGAGCTATAAAGGGTTTGTTTGGACAGGCAAGGGAGACTGTACTCTATGGTATATAAGCTGTTGTAGAGAGTAGTTCCAACCTGGGTAATAACAACATAATCACCAACGTGCAATTAAGTGTTTTAATGACAGCCATTATAACTGCAATTTCAGCACTCCTGGGAGACTAAAACCTGCCTGTACAACAATAAGTTACATGAAAGGTGTTTATAACTGTGATAGTCTTTATTAGGAGCCCTTACTCATAAAGTCACTCTTCATTTCATGGAGATAAGAAGAAACTAATCTGTCTGTCTTTGAAGCTTGAAAATTATGTGAAATCTCTCTAATTTCTTAGAATAAAAGAGCAGGTGAGCTTAGTGTGCCCCATTCTGACTCAGGTGATAGGAACAGATGTTTGTTTTCTTGTCTCCAGATGACCACTCAAATAACACTTCAGGAACACCAGGCTTAAGAATGCTTCTCGCCCATCCCTTTGTAACTGCATGCTTGGAATTTTGAGGGAATGGTTAGTGAACTCTGTGTTGCTGAGAGTTCAGTGCTGCGTTTTGGATGTGTTATTGACCCTGTATTCAGGCTGGGCTTTGTATGCACTCTTATTCCTCCTAAAATTACTATTCAACTGTGTGAATCTTGAGGAAAGGTCAGTCACTGCGTGGTTTGCTGTCAGCGGAGGGCAGTTCTGTTGGGAAAATACGTGGCAAATGATGAAGGAAGGCAGATGGTTTTAAAATTTAGAACAGTTAAAGAGACCGCTTTTGCTTTTGCTGAAGGTTCTACAAATATAAAGCTTCTGAATTCTTTTATTTGCCTTTTTAATTGGGCTGGTTTAATATCCAACACCATAGTTTAGGTCTCATTTTCAGGGTTTGAAAGGCAAACATGTGCCAAACCACATCTGGCAGATGTGGCACAGCCCAGAGAGCTGAGTGAGCAAAGCTGAGCTGTTTTCACTTGCTGAACTGACCTCCTCTGGGGAAAAGTAAAAAGGGACATATCACTAATTTCAGTTCTGCCCTGTGTGTGTCTCTGATCCCTCAAGTGTATTTGTTTTTCATAAGATAGAAACAGAAGAAATAAAGATGCCAGATGACTGTGAAACTTTCCTCAGTGATTTAAATTTTAATTTCATGCTCTAAAATTTTGGCTCTTAACAAATCCTCTTGAAAAATGGAGAGTGACTGTTGAAAGCTGAGTGTATTTGCCCTTCTATGTACCTCACTATTGATTTTCTAACTGCTGCTAACAATGACTTATCTTTAATTTCTAAAGTGTTAAAATGTGTTTTATTAAAAGTAGTGTCAATGCACTTAATGTATGATCTGCATCAGTATTGCGTTTGCCAGGGAGGAATGGGCTGAAGCCAGAGCAGGTTCTGATAGAAATCAGAGTATGTCTTACAACTCCACAGCTGTGGCAGGAGTTCCATGTGAACCCCAGGGGACATCTGGGTGCTCCCTGTGAGCCTCCAGGAGCCCTTTGGGGGCGTTTCTTGCCTGAGGTTCCATAGATGTCGGTGCCTCCCCTGTGCCCTGCCTGCCATACTCTGGTTTATGGCCCTGCCAGACTGGCACTTCTGTCCCACAGATTGAACTCTTCTCACTCCCAGACAAGAGAGATTGTTGGCTATGGAAGGTCTCTCCTGCCTTACAGTGTCTGTGTCTATTGTGGCTTAGGAACCAAGAGCATCCAGAGTGTATCCTAATTAACCCTCTCCATTTACTGGGATACATCTCAGTTTTTTTTAGAAAATGTAAAAGGATTGTGCTCTTTGAGTATGAAAACAGCTGGCAAACATTAATCATAAACCCCGTGCCTATTCCTTCACGTAGTGAGTTCAGCACAATAATGTGTCCGGGCAGCAACATCCAGTGCCACCTGCAATGGGCCTGTGTGAATCATTGGCAGGGATGTGTCATCCCAGCACACGTGCTGGCTGGAAAGGCTTGGCTGGCAGTAAGCCTGGAGGGCACCAGCAAACCCAGTAAGGGTGCTAAAGTTGGAGTCTGCTTTTTAATTTCCA